AGTTGGCTCTTTTGCTTATTAGTGATAAATTCATGTTTTAAAAGTTATGTTTCAAATATGAATAATATCATTAAGATAAAAATTTACCAGTATTTTCCTTCTGCAAAGAATTATGTTTTATACAATTAACGTCAAAAAATCGACATAATAAGACATCACTCTCCTTACCAGGTATTTCTAGGGATATTTTCTTTGAAACACTATTCAATACTTGGGAAAAAAAAGGGAGAAAAATTTAGTCTATATAATGGCAGCAACTTAGCTCTGTGAAAATACAGAAACAAATTCAAATAGATGTTGTAAAACAACCTGAAATATTTTAATCAAACTATGTGAGTATAATTCAAAGAAATAAACCTAAGGAGAAAAACTCTTGTCATTATGCAAGAGATTTGGCATGGAACAACATTCATCAGTCATTCTGACATGGAAAGGATGGATAAAGGAAGCAGATGGATTCATCTCCCTGCACTGAGTCTAGAAAATGGAAAGTCATCATGATGGCTGCTAACTTCTGCTATCAAATTTATTACTTGATTATCAGGCTATAACGAACAAGTGCAAGAGGAAATCATATAAAAGAAAAAGCAAACATACATTCTAAGCAGAAGCTGTTTTTCCACTTGACTGAATGCTTACCTCATTTAAAAAATTCAGAAGGACATCAACTTAATTTAGTGAGAGGAAGGGGTGGTGGTGTGGTGGTGTTTGTTTTGTTGTTTTTTTTTTTAAATTGTTGCAATTAATTAAGAGTATAAGCTTTGATTTGGTAGAACTTGAATTGTTACACAGGTCATTTCTTGTTTAGAATACCAATCTGCCTTTTCTCCTCCACACATTGACATTAGTGAGTAGAAAACCCACACATAGCTGTCACAAAGTCTCTGTTCAACCAAGATAAAGACAGACTTGTGTTAAGGTAAAAGAATCCAGTGAGGCTACTTCTCAGGCACCAGGAACACAGCTCTTCTATTCTCTTTGTAACAATTCAGAGATCAACTCTGCTGAATTTACAGCCAATACACCAAAGTCTTTGTGCCATGTGTGTGTCAGCATTTTGGCTGTTTGTTTTGTGGGTTGGTTTTGTTTGGTTTTGTTTCTTAAACAGGGATTCTCTATACCCTGGCCCTTGTAACAACTGTGAGAAGAAAATCTTCCAGAAATGGTGCACAGGTGGTGGATGATGACAGAGCTTCCAGGGTCTCTCAGCTTTGGGGTTGCACAACAGGGGTGCCATTACCAAACCCCTGGTCAGTGATGGAGCCCTGAACACCTGAGCTGCACTCCAGGAACCACAGGCCACCCACCTCAGATCTGAGGATGCAGAGACAGCAAAGGAGGCTTGGATTGTTACAGTGTTCTCTGTCAAACCTACAAATAGCTGTTTGTACTACTTAGAAAAAAAGAAATAAAAAAGCACCTTCTGTCGACAATTTTTATTAAGATTTGACTCATGAATAGTTCACAAAGATTACTAATACATGTTCACAGAATCACAGAATATGGGAGTTGGAAGGGACCATATTTCAAGCAAGCTATACATCATTTGTGTCTCTTTATAGGCACATGAGTACAGAATGTGTTATTGCATCCTATCTACCTCTCAAAAACATATTAAAGGTTGTATAAATCAATTAATGATTAATTACTCACCTTTGATTAAAAAACCAACTAAACTGTTAACATGTAAAAAATAAGCCATAGGATAAAATCAAACCAGTTCCATAGAAGGTAAAATTTATCCTTTAGAAAGTTTTCTGAACCACAGCGAGAAGAAAATCAGGATTATAAGCAGAATTTATAGATACATCAGTTTCCTCATATCATTTAATGTCCATGCAGTATCACATGACTGAAGTTCAGAAACAAACAGTGAAAAAAAACATTTTGAACATTAGCACGAGGAATAAAAAATAAAATAAATCCTGTATTGATTTTCTAAACTACAATTTTAATTCTTCTTGCTTATATCTACATCTTTATCTTTTATAAACACTATAATTGATTTCTTACATACTTTACAAAACAGTTTTTGATCCTCTTAATTCCATTTCAGTATTTTTTTGAAATGCTTTCTTTTATTTCTGAAAAATCTCTTATTATTATTTCCTTGGACAATAATCCAGAAGAGGCTTCCAAAACTGTTTCAATTCTAGTATTTCTAGGATTGAACCCGGCCATTATACAGTTAACTTTTCTTACAGAGTCTTAAACATTTTGAATGTTAATCATATCACACAGACTTAGCTACAGGAGACATGATTCTGTAATAACAATTGCAAGTGTCATACATAGAGAGGATAAGAAGAAAACTTAAAAAATTACTGAAAATTAAGCATAAAAACTTACCTAAAACATTCATCAGTTTCTATAGATGGCAATGAAGTAAAAGAAAATCCCATCCAAAATACAGCTAAAGAACACAGCCAGCTGTTAACAGAGAATAATTAATTTTAAAAGATATATAAAAAAATTAAGAGATAATTCTGGCAGACTACCCTTCAAAACCACTAGTTGCCTTGAAAAATAATACTCGATTCACAGAAAATTGAGATTAAAACACCTTAATATTTCAGTGTGTTGTTTAATTACCGATTTCCACGTATTTCAATATCTTTTGACTGCAAAAATTTTAAAATGTATTTGAAGAATCAGCCAAGAGCCCAATTCACATGTATACTAAATTTCCATTATTTCATTTACACATAATGTTTCCATTTATGCAGCTTTTTGGATTAAAGTGCTACACAAGAGACTCATACTAATAAAACATGGGGAAGCACTAAAGAATATTAAAAAAATTACACTTAAATTTTGCTTGGAAAACATTAGAGTTTAACAAGTAGAAACAGAATGTAAGCCATTTAAGAAGGAAATGCTAGAATTGTTAAGTTCTGCTAAGTTTAAAAAATACACCACATTCGCAAAACACTAAATTTTACAATATCTTTAGTTAAATCAGCATAGATGACAATTCAGTCTCTCTTGGTCTAATTATACTGGAAACATTGAAAATAAACTGACAAACAAAAGCATTTACAGATGGCTTTCCATCACATTCATAACAAATCACTTTCAACACAACATAACAACAAGATTTGTTGTTATCTCCAGCAGCAAACAGTTCCAGGAGCACAAGCTTAGGCAGAAAAAAGGACCAAGAAGGAAAAGAAAGTCTTACCTACAGAAGAAAGTTTGAAAGTTTCAAGTTAAGCTCTTAACTGAAATCCACTAAATCAATACAATCTGCTATGCTGACACAGACAAATCAGTTTAGAGCATGCTAACAGTGATTTAGCTGAAAATTGATAAGGAATCAATTCAAACTGAACTAATTATGTTTGGTGGAAATTACCTTATGTGGGCCCACGTCAGGTTTGGTGTACATTTAAATCTTAAATAGTGTTAATTAAGTCCATACAACGTCCTGGTGCAGAAGAGCTTACAGTCACCAGGGTAAAGCATCTCAGGACACTCTGGAAAACTCTGACTGTAAAACAAGCTCTCTCCTACTTACCAAGCTTCTCTACACTTCACAGCAAGCCAGACCTCAAGCTTTGCTTGCAGCTATTTGGCTTTTAAATTCATCCCCAGAAGGGAACTCAGGTACAATCTTCATTCATATTAAAAATGTACAGCTATTAACTGACATAAATCAGTACAGGTCGACATTTAAAATAAACTAAGCATGACTGTACCTTTTCCACTCTGACTGCAAACAGTTTTCTGTACTGCAGGAGCTGTCAGGGGTTCAGCTAAAGACTTGTTCAAGACATAGGACGTTCTGAATTGAGGCCTGAGCACGACTCACTAAGAGGAGAACATTTTGCACGACAAGCATAAATATTTAGGTTTTACACCCACTGCCCTAAAGGAGTGACTTCTTATTTCTGTCACAGACTGAAGAAGAAATTGCATAAGCATACAGGCTGTTTAGACTGTTTTAAAAAAATAATACTATCTACTCTAAGGATTAGAGTGAGATTTAAAACTAATCCTGCAGAAAAACATTGGCACTAAAGATTTCACTGAATTACAGATTTTTTGCAATAAGGAATCCTGTCAAGATCTGAGGGAAAAGAAAAATCAACTATGCCACCCAAGACCCTCTTTTATAGCATAACCAGCACAGTTCACGAAGCTGTATTTTCCTGATGTATTCACACCAGTATCAACCTCACTTTTAAGCCAGACCAAAAGGAATTGACTTCACCCAACAGTCCAAAATACAAGCAGACGAGAAACTTTATTTTTGTACAAGAGGTCGCTAGTTCTAGCAGCGGGACAGCACAGGTAAGCTCTCAGCTTTCCCTAAAAATAATAAAGTGTTAAACACAAGCCGAGGGGGTTTCGTGAAGTGTGAAGCGCAGCTCTGCACCATGTCCTGCAGGGCGGGAGGGAATGTGAGCGAGGGGGCGAGGGAAGACACCCGAAGTCACAGGACAAAGGGCTGCAGCTGCAGGGACGCGCCGGCAACTCCCCAGAGCAGGCCGGGCAGGAGAGAGCGGCGCGGGCAACGCGAGGGGACCGTGAGGGGATCGCTCCGCCCGCCCTCACCGGGGCTCCCGGGGACGCCCTCCCTCCCGGGAAAGGGCAGGGTCAGGCCGCGCACTCGCACCCACCGAGCGCTCCGAGGAGCCGGGCCGGGGCGCGGGGGGCGCGGGAGCGGCACCGCCAGTACCGGAGCCCGTCCAAGCGCCCCGTCCCGCCTTCCCGCCCGTTGCCCACAGCAACGCCCACACGCCGCGCCCTGCGCATGCGCCGCCAGCTCTTTCGCAATCTAGCGCGCATGCGTAGCCCGGGGCGCCCGCGCTGCCGCAGCCCCCGCCCCTCCGCTTCTCACGCGCCGCTCTGCGCTTCAATGAATGGGGCGACGCGAGGGGCGGCAACCGCCAATGGAGCGCGGGGGCGCGGCGCCCTAGCCCCCGGGCACGCCGGGAGTTGTAGTTCTTTTAGAGCGCCAAGCTGTGCATGCCGGCAGTGGCCGCGACTACAGTACCCAAGCGGCCGCGCGCGGGCGGCGCGCCCCACCCCCCTCCGCGGCTCCTGGGCGCAGCGCCGCCGCGGCCGCAGTCGCACCGCAGAGGTGACCCCGAGCAGCCGCTTCCACCGCTCCCGCCAACATGGTCGGTACCGCGCACTGGGCCCGCTGCGCCGGCGCCCGCACCGCGCCCTCCGCGCCTCTCCGGAGCGGATCGGGGGGATCCGGCGGGCGGAGGTGGCCGCGAAATGGCGTCGCGCTGCTCGCGGGGTGTGGGGGATAGGGGTGACCTGGAGGTGGTTGGTGGTGGCGGCACCCGGAGGAGCCGGGCCTGGCGGCGGCCCCAGGGCTCACCGCAACCCCCGCGGAGGCCGCGCAGGGGTGACCTTCCAGCGGGAGACGTGGGGTCGGTGCCGGCCTGGCGGCGTCTGTGCCAGCGCGGCATGAGGGGGAGGGCGGGATGTGGGAGCGGAGCGAACCCCCCCTGCCGCGGTGCGGCCCCTCCCGATGGGGGATGGCACCGTTGGGCCCCGCGGGTGGCGACGTTGTCTCCGAGAGGTCGGGAAACCTTTCGCCTTAGTCCGTGAGAGCTTAACGGTCTGGAGCCGTTCTGTGTTAGCTCAAGGGGAAGTGCTTGTGAAATGTCTTTATTGTTTAATCCCTGCGTGCTGTCAGAAATCCTGCTGTTTGTGCAGATTGTCACAGTTCTGCCCTGAGGTTATTACAGGTGTACTGCAGTGCTTTGCTTTTCTGCAGCATATATACTTACATGTATGCACACACAAACCTGCACAGAGACCTTCCTTTTCTTTGTAACACTGAAAACATCTCCAGGTTTTTCTAGACTCTATACCCTGTTATTCAAACCTGTACTTTTAATGTTTTGCTGTGGAAAGGATGCTTGCATGCTCTGGGACATGGCTTATTTCAGCTACACCCTAAAAAATACCAAAGTCTGTAAACTTCTCTGCTCTTTCTGTTTAAAATGTGGATTCAGAGGAGTGACCATAAGACAACAGGTTTTAGTTTGTACATGAGCTTTCAGATCATTGCCTGACATGAATGTGCTGGTCTCACAGAGAACTGCTGGTTGTAATTTACTTTGGTGTCCAGGCTTTTCAGAATGTCACTGTTTTTGTCTTGCCTTTGCTGTTCTAGTTATGCATGTGGTGGTGGGCAGAGGCTTTAAATTCCAGAAATAAAATTATCTGTCTATCGATGCAACCACCATTCGATAAATGAAGTGAAAAAAGTCTTTCAGGGCACCTATGTGAAGGTCACTTCTTAAGGAAAGAACGCCTTTGGAATTCGGTCTCTGAATGACTCTGCTGGTGGCTCTCCTCAAGTGCAGAGCTGATACTTTCTACTCCATTTCCAAACACGTTTATTGTCACCATATCTCTGCTTTAAAGAAGGGAGAGCAAAGGGAAAGTTTCTTAGGCAGACTCTAGACTCTTGAGGAGATAAACTTTATCTTGATGCTTAAATCACCTTTGTGAAGCAAGGTGGGATAGCTTAGTTGGCTTTACTATTCAGGAAAAAAGTTAAGTTGATGATGTTTTATGGACAGTTAAGTTTATCAGCAGTAATGTATATGGAGGTCTTTCATAAGTGTAATTTGCAATGCAAAGTAGACAGGATGTTCTTGCCACAGCATTTGATAGGTTGTGAGTTATCTTTTATGTACCTTTGTAACCTCTTGAATCAGTTTTGCAGTGTAGTGCTATTTGCCTGTATAGCACTAATGTTTTAGGTCTGCTGTTATCACCTGTAAATCACAGACATAACTGAGGCACTGAGTTCTTCAGCCAAAGTGTGTGGAGTGGGAGATAAGCCCACAACTGCCTCATTTGGTATTGGAAGCTTCACTTTCATCTGCCGTAGTTGAGGAAGGGGAGAAATCCTACATGATTGCTGAACTAGACAAAGAAGGGTACCCAACAATGTTCAGTTGTTGGGGGTTTTTTTCCTCATCCTTTTTATCACTGCCTTTGCTACTCTTTTAGTTTCCTAAAGCTTTTTAACTGTGCATCGGCTGAATGTGGAGTGGGGAAGGCTTTGAAACAAAATAGTTCAGCTAGTTGTTGTTTAATTTGTCCTCTAGTTCTTCTATACCTGAGGGTGAGTAAAGGTCACCCCTGTAGCTACCACATGAAAGTAGTCTTGCAGGAGCCAAGTCACGGGCTGAAGGGCCTGGACATGAATATTTGGAACCTACAACTTCCACTGGAGAGCTACTCATCTCTCTAAATATCCAACCTCCAAAAGTAACCTCTAATGCTCAATAAGACCAATTATGATATGTGGTCTTTTTTCTTTTTTTTGGTGAGAGTTATCCACATTTGTAAGAACCACAGCATTTTTGGCTTGTTAATCTAGCTTCTGGATTTGAGGCAGCGTGGAAGTTTCTTTGATACTAATTGCTCACAATTAGTGCAGGAGTAAAGGGGTCTGGGGAATGTATTGAATCCAGTGGACTGAAGGTTGGGAGAGAAAAAGCAAGTAGACGGCACCCTTCACTTTATTTTAGCTTGCGTTTCTTCCTCTCCAGCCCCACACTGGGGGGAAAACAGGAAGGATGGTTGTAAGCAAACATAATTATGGTGAGAAGGTGGAGCTGAGTCATGACCAAAGTGTTTTTGTTTTTTTTTTCCAAAAAAAGGCTAAATGCTAAGTTTGTCTCAGTAAAAGAATAATAAATAATCCTATCTCTTACCTTTTTATTTTCTACTCCTTCCTTCTCCTGTTGTTATGCTAAATACTTACCGTAATGTTAGTGGATAGATTGACATTTTTTATGTTTAAATCAAATTAGCATATAAAGTGCATATAGTGGAAAAAAATCTCATTTTACTAACTAGTATGGTTAGCTGCCTTAAAAGAGTATTCATTGTTGCCTTAATGTAAATAAAATGTAGGATCTCCTTAGAAACATGCTGTAAAGTTGGCTTTAAAATTTGATACGCATCTTGATCCATGCTGTCCATCATCATTCAGACATTATGGTACATTTCCTTACTCAGGAATACAATATCAAAACTAGTTTTGAGATTTAAACCAGCAAGAATTGTTTGTCTGCCCTCCTTCCCCCTCTTTGTGGAGTTTCCATGAGGGATGAGGCTCATAACAGGACAGATTCAAAAGAAAATAATGCAGTTCAATGCTGTGTAACTGCTAATCATGTAACCAGATATTTAAAGAATCGTTCCCATAATGAAGGCAAAATCAGGCCAGGTCTAATTCTACAAGTTTAGGAGTTTAATGTCATCATTTACACTCTCATTTTATCTGGTGTGTGGTAAGATGGGGCAGGTGGCCTCATTTCTGTAATAATTTAAGGATAGCTTGATGCAGCTATGCTTGGCTGGTCACTTCTGCAGAGAGGATACACTCAACGCCCAAAATGGTTTTCCTATAAATATCAATGACAGGAATGTTGGTTGGGAAGGATCTCTAGAGGTCATACGGTCTGCCCTCTTTCACTCCAATTCTGGAGGTTGTCCAGTCCAGCCTGACAGCAAGGCTGTTGCCAGTGACAAATTGTATCATACCTGTATTTTGATCTGAGTCTTGAAAACCACCGAGGGCGAAGGTTGCACCGACTCTCTGGGTACCCTTTTGTAGCCAGTGCACCCTGTTCTGTCATCTGCCACTACAGAGAGGTGTTGGGAAGTGTTATTTTTGTAACACTCTGTGAAGGTGTGGTAGGCTGCTGTTACATCACTCTCCATCCTCTGCCTTTCCAGGCTATGTCCAGCACCCTCAGCCTCACTTTACAGGGCATGAACTCAGGGTGCCAAGACTGGACTCAGTATTCCAGCTGCAATATCACCAGCACTGAGTGGAATGCCTGTCTTTGCTCTGCAAGCTACGCTTCTCGCAATGTAGCCCAGGATGCAATTAAATCACTTCTTTCACGTTCAGTTGTGCCTGGTGTTTTGTCTGTATCTCAAATGATCATCTTTTAATTATTTGACAAATTGGGTTTGACACTCCAGCAGCCCGGTCAGAGTCTGCTTGTTCCTGTCCTTGCACAATCCGTCCCAGCCCTATTGCCTCTAGAGAAACATGGAAATACAAAAAACAGGCTTACAAAATGCTGAGTTATGAATGTCCTTTAGCATGTGTTCCATTTTCAGAGGATCATAGAGTGATTTGCATTTGAAGGGACTTTTAAAGGTCATCTGGTCCACCCCTTCCCTTACAATGAGCAGTGACATCTTCGACTAGACCAGGTTGCTCAAAACTCCAATTTGACCTTGACTGTTTCCAGCGATGGGGCACCTATAACCTCTCTGGGCAATCTGTGCCAGCGTTTCCCCACCCCTATTGTAAAATATATTTTCTTATCTAAATCTGCCCTCTTTTAATTTAAAACTATTGTCCCTTGTCACTTCATAACAGGCCCTACTAAAAAGTTTGTCTTAGTCTTTCTTAAAGTCCTCTTTGAGTATTGAGAAGCTACAATAAGGCCTTCCTGGAATCTTATCTTCTCCAGGCTGAACAACCCAAACTCTCTCAGCCTTCGATTTTCAATATTGAATAACCTCTGGATTTCCCTGGATCTTAGTTCTGCTTAACAAAATGGGGTGTTTACTATAGAGCATGCATTTTTTTCCCCTTTATTTGCAATATAGCAACATGTTGGCAGTCTTCTCCCAGTCTTGTGGAGTTTAGGGTCAGTTTGACAATAAACAATTGTATTATGGATAATAGTGTCTGTATTTGTCCATAATGTACCTTTTGTCTGTGGATTTCTTAAATTACTGCCAAACAGTTTAGTGGGGCACTAGTTTTAAGTCCATTAGATTCTTTGGTCTCTGGCATTCAGTAAGTCTTTGATTGCAAATAAGCATTCAAAATGCTTAATGAAACAGCCTTCAAAATGGAAAAGAATGTGAAAACCGGTGAGGTGTCACAGCTTGTGAAACTGTAGGAAATTTCAAGTATGAATGGCTAATCTAATGAGTGGATATTTGTTGTGTTGTGCTCTGTTGAAAAGGCAATGTTAAGGGGAATACAGAGTTTTTCAAATACATTGTTATTCCTGGCATTTTGGAAGTTATTCCAGGAGCAATTCTTCAGGATGCTTTTACAAGTGTGGTCTGTTTCTGTAAAAGCAAGTAGAGAAATTGCTTGTGGTTCTGGTAGAACAGAAGTATGATCCAAGGAGTTGGGGCTGATCTGCATTTAGGCACACATTAACATCCAGGTTAAATAATCCATGATATTGCTGTAGTAACTGTTAATTTTTAATACTCAGATGGTGTGACTTGCACTGTGTAGCAGTGGGTAAGGCTCTAATTTTCTTACAGGGTGAACCTGTCAGAGTCCTGGTGACTGGAGCTGCTGGGCAGATTGCTTACTCCCTGCTCTACAGCATTGCCAAGGGGGATGTCTTCGGCAAAGACCAGGTAACTCTCACACTGAATTATCACTTGTCTCTTCTGCACAGGAATAAATGTCACAGCTGCAGTCCCTGGGACTGGTTTTCTCATAGACACTCACTCACTGATTTACCAATATGCAAGTAATTTCTTCTTTAAGTGGGGAAAACTGGTGTCCTACTCTGTTACGCAAGCTTTCAGTTGCTGGATGTGCTGAAGGTGTTTGTTTTCTCTAAATGGGTTTTAAATCTTGCAGGAGATAGCGGTTTCTGGCAGAGTACAAGACAAAATTCATTTTCAAAGCAGATTATGCCCAACTTGCACTAAACCTTTTCTTTCTTTACAGCCTCTTATTCTTGTGCTCCTGGACATCACTCCTATGATGACTGTACTGGAAGGTGTGGTGATGGAGCTGCAGGACTGTGCTCTGCCACTGCTCAGAGGTATCCAAAAGAATTTTTTCTTATTCCTACAATAAGTTGTAATACAGCTGCTGCATTTATGAGTTCCTGTAGCTGGCAGGAAATTAACAGAAGAAAATATTAGATGATCTTTCCTTGGTATTGTATTTTTTGGAAGATAAATTAATTGAACTTAGGCTATAAGCTAGCAAGAATGACATCAAATGAGTTTTGTGAAAAGAACTGACAACACAGATATGTGGGTTTTGGTTTATATCAGCAAATCCTGGGGTTTCAGCCTGGACAGCAAATTGTCAGATACTTGTGCATATGTGCATTGTGTTCTAGCCCAATGGTGAAATAACAATCTTTAGATATTCCTTTGCTAAATAAAAAAACTACACCATAATTTTAGACTTTAGAAATATCTTCTGTATAAGGACGCAAAATAAAAAATGACTCCTTAAGTCGCGTAAACAAGTTGAGTTCTGGTACTTTTAACAAGCAGAAGAAAGGGAGTGAGTAGGTGTTACAGTATTAGAATACTTGAAAAAAAACGCATGTAGCTACCAGCTCTTGTATAATTCAGACCTTCGGTTTGAATTGTAACCTAACCCAATTCAAAATCTTTGGTTGGGATTGTTAAAGGGGAAGGAAAATTTCACTTTTGTTGATATTTGCCATTGAAACTTTTTTGTAAAAGTAAAGAATAGCATATGTATATATATATATTTAGATAGAGACACACAAAACGTATATTTTTACATAGATTTCTCCCGTGTTTTCCACTTTAGATAAAAATTTGTACATATAAACCATTTACTGGCAAGTACTTAATCTGTGGAGTTAGGGCCAAGTGACTATACTTGTGTTTTTGGAAGGGGAAGGTGGTGATATTGTCAGATTAGATTATATACTCTTTATGAACAAAAGAATATTCCTGTTAACGCTATGCCATGAGTACTTATCTTACTGATTTTTTCCTCTCTTTCCTTTTTTTTAGAGGTCATTCCAACAGACAAGGAGGAAGTTGCATTCAAAGACCTTGACATAGCGATTCTGGTTGGCTCCATGCCAAGGAGAGAGGGCATGGAAAGGAAGGATTTACTCAAAGCAAATGTGAAAATTTTCAAGTCTCAGGGTGCAGCCTTGGACAAGTATGCCAAAAAGACTGTCAAGGTGAATATAGAAACTGAATTTAAAACATTAACACAGTTATGTAGAGATCTAAATATATTGTAGAATGATGTTGCGCAAGCAGGAGCGTGTTCAGTGCAGGCATTCCTTTCCCTAAGCCCTGGAAAATATACCACAGTCAAAACCAACCCCACAAAACCATATTAAAAAAAATGAGCAGTCTTTTGCTCGTTATCTCTCTCCTCTGGGAGAACTAAATCTTCTACATGCAGCTGCCTACTTCATATCCATCTGTGGCTTTCACAGAATGGCCCTTAACTTCAGTATCAATATGGAATTACAGTTGCACAAAAAATCGGCTTTATTTGGGTTGTTTGCGTCTTGTTCTTTGGAGCATTGGAAGATTTTAATTGTTCTCTCTCAGATTCCTTCAGCACAGTTAATGGGATCATGGGGCTGCTCTCCCACTGCTCTTAATCTCAAACCCAGACTCCGACTGTGCTTTGTAACTGACTTTTTAATGTCTGCTTCCTCTGCTGATGAACTTCCTACTGCTTCTAAAGACTTGTTTGCTTCTTTATCCAGTTGGAATAAAAACTATCAATATAACTATTGCGGAGTAGTGGAAAATTTACTGAACTCACTTTCAAAAGGGGAGATACAAAGGGAGGTTTGCAGATCAGCTTGTGTGATTGAGGGTATATGGAGCTTAACATTAGTCATTTGAGGCACAAATGAAGGATGAATAAAAAACAGTTTTCCATAGCTATAAATGGATCTAAGTTGAGGCAGTATTTTACTTCTAACTGCTTATGAACATTGAGATTAGTAACTGTTCTGGCTTTCTTAATTATAAAGCAATTATATAAAGCAGTGGCGGCCAGACTAAAGAGTATTTAAAAGGCGGTGAAGTCACTGTGGGCTCACTAGTGTGCATGTACCTTGCTTTTCCTATGTCTGGTAGCATGAGATTTGAAGCCAGACTGTGGATCAGTGTATAGATCTCCCTAGAAATCTTGTTCTCTTTCACATTTGAATCTCAAGTTATAAAGAAAATACCTACCTAGAAAATATTTTTCTGTACAGTTATAGAAGACTGGGTGACTATGAACAACACACAGAGAAAACAATCATGTTGAAGACAACCAAGAGATTTAGAAAACTTCACTTCTTTGATAGCTTCTTGGAAGGCAAAGCAGTGTATTTCACTGGAGGGAGTTGTTTTGCAGAAATACCGACTTCATCTCCCCATTTTTCATTTTCAGGTTGTGGTAGTTGGGAATCCAGCAAATACTAATTGCCTGATTGCATCAAAGTCAGCTCCATCTATACCAAAGGAAAACTTCAGCTGCTTGACTCGTTTGGATCACAACAGAGCCAAATCTCAGGTAAAAAGAGCCTATTTTGTTATCTCTGCTAAACACAAACAGAACAGTGCTTTCAAAGGAGCCTGTGAATTGAGAAACTGAAGTCAATGCAATGGAAATCTTTAATTTCCTATTAGATTGCTCTGAAACTTGGTGTGACTGCTAATGATGTGAAGAATGTCATCATCTGGGGCAACCACTCCTCCACTCAATATCCAGATGTCAACCATGCGAAAGTAAATGTGAAAGGAAAGGAAGTTGGAGTTTATGAAGCTATAAAAGATGACAGCTGGCTGAAGGGAGACTTTATCCAGGTAAGACAGGTGGTTTTTTTGGTGTTGTTTTTTTTTTTAAACAGTCATTCTGTGCTTGTGCTTTCTTCTAACCTCATCTGAAATTGTGATCTACGTACCTGAGTGACTTGGTGAAGCAGCTCTTCTATCTCACTAGAATAAGCCATCCTCACATAGCTTGTTGCTGTCAGTTGTTTGCCCTTGAAAAATTTAAGGCATGAAGGCCTATGTAGACCCTGCTAGAAAAATCCACTTGGAGTGCTAAAATGATTCAGCAAAAAGAGTTTTGATCATAGCTCAGGTGAAACTTGTCTGACACAAGAAGCACCTTTGCCATTTCACTATGGTGACTTTTGGGGGCGGTTTTGTAATAATGGCATTAATTGATCGAGAGCACAGGCTGTTTAAATGCACTATGAAGTCAGACAGGCTTACGAAAGCCCTAGGTGCTTGTGACTCTGAATAGCTGTGCTCTGCTTGGTGTTGCAATGTTACTGGCATCCGAACAGCCAGGTACTACACCTTAGCCAAGGAAGCTTTAGTTTGGGACAGAGAATGTGTTTTGTCATATGACAGTGCTCTGTCCTGTTTTGGATGTGACATTTCAGTTCATGCTTGTTGCTGTGGAATAAATGATTGGCAATCAAAGTTCATGAGCCAGAGTGTAAGCAGAAAGCTGTCCTTGACCTTGATGCAGCTATATCGTACGTGGCCAAAACAGGTTTGGCCTTCTAGGTGCATTGTAATGCTGGACTGTATTAGAATGCTTTACCTAAGATAAGGTAAGATTTCATAATTCTTGCTTTCTGGACTGGGATGTGGTTGGCATAAAGCTTTACCAAAACTATAGTGAAGCCTATTCTGAGAACTGCAATTCACAAACGCAAAATTTCTAAGTATAGGGAGGTCTGTTCAACTATCTTCAGGAATTACATGAATTTTGTGCAGTAAATATTGTAGGATTGAGACCAGCAAATAATTCACATTGGTATTCAGCAAAAAACCTTGATTGACAGTGTTGCTCTAGACATCTGTTACTGTTGACATGCACAAAGTCTCTTGGTAGGAAAAGGTTGAGACGTCTGGTTGTTATGTGAGAAGCTGTAAAGCAGGTACTGAAGATTGAGCCAGCCTCTGAAATGTTCCATTATGTTCTTGTCTTGACAACACTCTTCTGGATTGTATGCCATGTTTGTTTAGTGATAGAACTGTATCTTGACTGATGAAATTAAATAATTATGTACAACGATCTTTCTTTATGGCATTTACTAACACCATTTAGACCAAGCCATGATTTTGCTGCTTTACAATTTTATTGGGGTTTTTTTCTTAATTGCAGACTGTTCAGCAACGTGGAGCAGCAGTTATTAAGGCCAGGAAACTGTCCAGTGCCATGTCAGCTGCCAAAGCTATCTGTGATCATGTGAGGGACATCTGGTTTGGTACTCCAGCGGTAAGATGTTGCTTTTGAGTAAGTGCATGTTCACCTAATTTGCTTTGATTACATGACAGCATCATTGACCTCCATTGCATATGTGTTCAGAGGAAAGAATCTGTCTTCTTCTGGAGTAAAGGGTGTCATAGGAGAATACAGGATGGTGAAAAATCAAAATTTTGCTTTCTTCTAGCAGTGAAAAATGTGTTCATCTCTTACTTTTCTGGTTTCAGGGGGAATTTGTTTCGATGGGAGTCATTTCTGATGGCAATTCTTACGGTGTTCCTGAAGACTTGCTATATTCATTCCCTGTTGTGATCAAGGTAACTAGACTGTATTTAAATCCGTGTATCTTCTGCAAGACATAAAAACTATCATGTGAGCTTGTTAATAGCAGTGATTTTCGTGTGGGACTGCAGTTGCTGGGATGTGGGGGTTTTAGTCTTTCACAGAGAGGACTGTTCTTAACCAAGTAATTGAACTTGGTTGTCAACTAAGTGCTGATAGATGAGTAGAATCTGACATGACTAGCTGGTGCTGGTTGCATTCTCTATCTGAAACAAAACTAGCTGCTGCCTGATGTGTTTTTTTGGCTGTAAACTTTGGTTCTTATGCTGCAAAGTGTCCTTCATGCAGACTGAATGAAAGCTTGTTCTTACGCGGTGGGGGCTTTTTATTTTTTTGTTTTCAATCAGGACAAGACCTGGAAGTTTGTTGAAGGTCTTCCTATTAATGATTTTTCTCGTGAGAAGATGGATCTTACTGCTAAGGAGTTAACTGAAGAGAAGGAGACTGCTGTGGAATTCCTGTCCAGTGCATGACTAGGTCATGAGGAAATACAAAATCATTTAAGAGTGGAAGAATCTAAGAGTCGTCTTTAGGTCTGCTACCAAACACTATTACTGTATCCAAGTCAACTGTCTGTGGCCATTGTGCATTTTAAAGTTCATAAGCTTACTGGTACTGTTGTGCCTCTGGAGTTATTAGCAAAAATGTTATTAAAGAAGTAAAACTAGTTTGTTGACCAAACTTTTTGTCTTTTCAATACTAGTTGCTTTCTGTGTATGGTACAAGATAATTGTTTGCCTCGGCCTTGGCTACTAACGCACAATCCGGTTAGAATTTGGCACTATTGGAACACGTCCTAGTCCGTAATCACTTCAGCATCCTATGGCTCAACTGAAAATAAACTTAGAATGTAATTGCCCTTGAACCAGTAGTTCAGTGAGTCTATCACTGGACAGACTTCAAATATACACAGTTCACTGGGGTAATGCTTACAATGTTTGTCAATAGAAATATTAAAAGTTGCTTAATCACAGTAGTCTGTTGCACTTTATTTGCATGTTTTAGTTGCGTAACTAACAGAGTTTGTTAGTAGAAGATAAAAAAAACCCTGAAAGCCTATTTTAAGAAACTGAGGGAAATGAGTTTTAAGAAACTTTATTGATGACTAGCACCACCCTTTGTCTAAGTTGCTGACTGTCCTGTTCTAATAGAACTTTTTGCCTTGTACTAAAGTAAATCTTGGTCTGTCGTATCTGGTGTCATCTCATTTTTCTTTTTCAGTTTGTTGTCATTAAATAAGGATACAAAAAATAGAACATTTTTGACCGAAAAAGCAAAGGTTAAACTGAATTATAAGCAAATTGAATGGTTTCTTTGAGGATTTAGCAACAAGAATATAGAATACATCAGCCATCATCAATAAGCTTATCTGTAAAAATTAGTCTGCTCTCAGAACATTACAGTACCTATTGAGTACAGTGACAGTGATGCAGCAAAGAATATACATAGAGTTGAAAGGGAAAACAAGCATTTCAGATAATGGGAATGTGCTGCAGCACAGGACAGCTGGGACAGGTCACAGTCAGTGAATGCCATGAATGTTTATGAAGCAGCTGTTGCAAGAATTTATGCATTATTGCAGTCTTAGGAATAGACAAGAAATACCCACAGTTGTATTTTTTCACTGTTTTTCCCATTCATCTAAGCCCCCTAGAGTTTAGCCATGGAGAAGTTATCAGAAGAAAATTTCATACATCTGTCTTTTCACAACAGTTTGGGCACTTCTGCAGGAATTAGGGAGGGAAGGAAAGCTGCCAATGTATGACTGTCTTCTGGTGTTCCATGCAGTCAGTAAAATCTCATTTCAACATTAGCCCAGCAACTAAAGGAATTCATTACAGTAATTACCATGCTACAGCTTATTTTAAAATAATGTGTTTTACAGTGAACGTTACAGGAGATAGCTCCAGTGCCCACTGTTACTTGGTGTGAAAAGACGAAGGACAGGGAAAAGTGCACATCTGTGCCTGATAAACAAAAATAAGGGATGCTAAATCCTGCTGTGCAGTGTGCTTTGTGCCATACCTACAGAAGCATCACAATGTAGGGAAGAAGCTCCGAAAAAGAAAATGTGGAAGATCTGGCTCCTCAGGGTTTTTGATGTCTGTTTTAAAGCTGCCTTCTGCAGGAGACAACTAACTTTGTGAAATGCTTATAACACATAGTGTATCAGAACAATTGCATAACTAACCTCAGCACTTGATAGACTATCTCATGATATACTGAACTCCTCATGTTAACAGTTGAATTTACATTGGACTACTCATACTGAATTTTACACACCATTTCTGTTCCTCCAGATTTCTGTGAAGCATTTCAACAGGAAATCTCTCATCTGCTCATTGACCGCGCACTTTACTATCCCACTACTTACAAACTCTCAAGCTACCACGTGGTGGCTATTCTTTGTATTCTTTGTATTCATGTTTCTGGACTGCTCTGTCCTCTGTTCTGCTTTCTCCAGTTTTTTTATTTCTGGGAGATTTCCTCCTGCTGTGGTTAGTTATCTCTCACTGTGGCTCGGGTTACTTTGTACAGTCTTTATCAAATCTGAGGGTAATCAGATACGGAAACAACCACAGAGGTTGTGGAAGCTTCAACCTTGGCCCTACCCCTGCATTTAGCAGGAACTTGCACCGAACAGCTGCTGAACTCTGTGACTGAAAGCCACTGAATGTCTTCACACCAACTGTATCTTTTAAACAGCTCTAAATGCACATGTGTTGAAAGTTGTTCTTCAGTTAGCAGTGAGGTATTTTCAGGACATACAGGCTTTCTGTGCAGGAAGGGATCTCACATCCACTCTTCACTTGCTGATTACCTCTCCAAGAGAACAAAAGTTAGGACATCAAACAGCAGCTCCTGAGTGAGTGTGTACCAGTGTTCTTTGAGAAACAGATCCTGGAGGAAATTAGGACTTGAATTGTCAGATGCACTCCTGGAAAGTTTCTAGATGGAGCAGCTGAGAACATTAGGGCTCCTGGCTGAGTCTATGTGTCAGCAGGAAGGCTCCCAGGGAAGGCTGAAAACTTCAGCGTGACTGGCATTCCTTGTCGTGGAACGCCAAATCCATGGATCATAAATCCTCCCTTCGTGCTTGTGAAAGCTGTACAAGGCAGGCTGCTAAGCTGATCTCTTTGTGCTTTCTTGACAGCTTTTCATTGCCAGCAAGAATTCTTTTGAGAGGGAGAAGTAAAGCTTTTCCCCAAATGAATGAAAAACTGATTTCAAGTTTGTGTCACATCATCGTTCTTCTCCCACTACAGCTATTCCTGCTCTTTTTTTTTGAAAACTCCAGATCCAAGGAATGAATCTAAATCAACATTACACTGATGCTCATCACAGAACTTTCTACCTGGGCATAGTTATAAGACGTCTTATTAAATCAAGAGGTTTTGAATCTCACTTTGCATGAGGGAAGGAAGGAGAACTTCTCTGTCAGATAAGAGAGATGCAAATTTCAGAGCACTAGATTTACAAAACAGAGGAAAGGTGACATGGATGAGTTCATTTGAATTACTTCCTTTTTATTTGTTTTTTTTTTTCCCTGTTTCCTGTGGTTTGGGGACTTTTTTACATTTATAGACACATTTTGAATTCCAAATAGCAAATCCTAGAGGATAACTACAGCTCAGTGTAATGAAAGAGGAACTTACAGAAATAAAATTATTTGCAGCTTAAAGGGAAGATGATTTATGTTCAAAGATAAAGTTGTTTTTTTAAAAAACCATTCCAACAGCTCTTTAAGTGGCAGCTTTGAATAGGAAAATGATAAATGCTATTGAATCAGAGCAGAGGCTGATCAGTCAGCTGCTTAAAATACTGTAACTGCAGGCAAATAGAAGAATTAACAGAGATGCAGTCTTCAGCTTAGCCAGAAATAAGCCCATTGTTTTGGTTTCACAGAATCTTTAATAATTTATTATTAAAAATCTAATTACACAGATGCTTTCTTTTTTCAAGTCTGCTAACCACAGTTATCAATGCCAAGACCACCTTAAATCCTAAATAAATACTGATAAAAATAATTTTGCAATGCAAGTTTTCTAGGAGCCTCCAGATGGAGCTAGTAGAGAGGGAGTCACACTGGGAAGATTTTTTTTCCCCTCCACCTGTGAGCCTGGAGAATTTAAATATTTGCTCAAGAGAAAGCAAACAAATCTTCCAAATCTGCAGTTACAAGGCTGGGGGCCCAGGGAACTCTTGGACAGGAGAGGGAAGGTGTTGGCCAAATACCCTCATCTCCAGCAGTGGGGACACCTGCCTCCATCCAACAGGGAAGATGTCCACATGAAAGGTGCCTTCTCCACGGCAAGGAGAATAACCTACAGACAAGCTTGGCACCACCCCTGCTGGTGACCCTCTCTTCCATTCCCGAGTAGGAACAGCACTAGAGATTGAGTTATAAATTCAGGAAACAAGTCCTGCTGTTGGCGCTGCAGGAGACATCCTGGCCAACAGCAGCCAGATAACCTGTCTTTGCCCCTCAGCTTCTCGCAGCTGACATATGCAAAATGAGTTGAAAGCCCTGGCTGGAGGATGCTATAAAGGGCATGGTCTGAGTTTCCTTGCAAGTGCTTTGGAGAAGACAGGGTGCACCGGGGGACACTGGTGTCAGAGGCAAGCGGAGCGGGAAAGCTCAGCCACCACTTCATCAACAGGCAAACCACAAAATAAGTAATCCTGACCCAATAACTTCTCCTCTCCTAACTGGAGAAGCTAAATACAGGTGAGGATGGCTGTGCTGCTTCTGTGGGCTTTTAAGACAAAAACATAAAGCCCAGCTCCTCATTATAAAATTCATGGCTAGGCTTCGCGAACGAAGATTTGAGAAGCGCTCTACCCACGATTCTTGCAAGCGCGTTGGTGGCTAAAAAGGCCAATACGAGAAAGGCAAGTCCGGTTGCAAAAGGCACAGCAGAAAGACTCCTTAGATGGTATATTCTGCAAGGCTCGATTCTTTCTGCGTTGTCTTTTCTCCTCAAGAGTGATCCTGCATGCTTTCTCAAAAGCATCAGCAGCGTTATAAATGGTCTGTCTCCAGGCCTCCCGGTTAGAGGCCAGAGTAGACCAGTTATGGTGATCAATATGCCCGAGGCTGAGTGAGGATGGCTGTGCTGCTTCTGTGGGCTTTTAAGACAAAAACATAAAGCCCAGCTCCTCATTATAAAAATTCATAAAATACTATCACAAGAAACCCAAATGGTGTTTGGTAACTTCTCTTTGGTGTGGACTGGTGGCAGTGCTGGTGTTGGTGTCTGCAGAGCAAAGCACAGGATAAACATCTGCCTCTCCTGACAACCAGGAGAGCCTCCACCAGAGCTCTGCCTTCCTGAGGAGAGACAGAGGAGACGAGCCACACGGAGACCAGCCAGAGGTCACCTCTGTGGGTTTAGGGCCTGTTGATGTCACTGAATGGAAATACCTGGAATACGTGGGAGCCAGACAGAACTACAGTCGTTCCCATTTCTCTCTGCAAAGCCACAGGAGATGAGGTTGGCTTTTTTTGGTAAGTGCCAGGTGTTTCATCTGCACATTCCACAAACACAGAAATAATTAATACAGGCTCCACGTATGCTATGCTCCTATCTAGCTGCTGCATCACTGCGAAACTGGACGTGGGGTGAATTAAGTTGCTTGTTAATGCCCAGGCTGGTAACAATAAAATCTCAGGAACTGTTTGATCTCAGCTGCCACAAACCAAATCCCTGTGACCGGGTCCCTGGCAGCACCTCCCCAGCACCTCCATCCCCTGCCCCCTGCGGGCCTGGACTGGTGTTAATGGGACTCACCTGCACTGGCCGGCAGGAATGCACAGCAGCCAAGTACTGGGGGTTTTGAACTCAATTACTTATCATTTCACTAAGTGCTAAAATAATCATTATAAGAGTGGGTCTAGACTTGTCCGCTGCAGCTCCTATCTCCAAATTTGACTTCATGTTTCTCCTCCCAGCTATCACACTGGCAGTTAAT